AGCGACTCGTGGTTAGCGTGTCGGGCTGATAATCCGAATGAACCGGGTTCGAATTCCGCTGGTAGCATTAACTTTTTGCCAACAATTTTTTTCATATCAGCAAGTTTGGTTGGTTTGGTTAGGTTATGACAGTTTCATTTTATAATTAAAAAACTATGAAATTGAACTTTAGGCATTTATAATTTTATTTTATGAACAAAACTATTTTTTAGATTAGTAAACCTTCATTCGATTTTTCCATTATCAGCACGTTTGGTTGGTTTGGTTAGGTTTTGACAGTTTAATTTAATAATAGAAAAATTATAAAATTGTCTGTTTCCTCAGACGCAGCAGTTAGTGACGTCAGCAGTTAGTGACGTCAAGCGGCACCTGAGAAATCTTCCGTGTGCCCCACCGCGACTTCGAACTTGGCACTCCCTGGCACTCCCGTCGCCCCAACCCGGCCGCTCGTCCGTCGTCTTGGGTCTCGGTTTCACTCTCAGAAGCAGAAGTCTCTAATCTAATCATAATCTAGCATAGCTTTAATACTATAACTATATCAGCTTTTAATATTTACCCTGAAATTAGATACCGGTAATTTTATTAGTTTTCGTACTTTTATATCTAGATAAGTTACATTTTGCAAATTTACATTATTAGGCTAAGTATTTGGCCAAGTTTTAGGTTAGGCTTAGGTAGCTTGCAATTGTGTTGTTTTACAAAAATAGGCTTCACTCAACCTCGTTGATATTTTTGATATGGAAAATGACATTTTGGATGCATTCAAAGACATTGGGTAAGTACGCAAGTTGGACCAGAATTTAATTTCAAGTAAGGTAGGCTACCGGTAACTGATAACTTGAGTATGCTAGGTACCTAGCTACTTAGCTAACTTAGCTACTTAGCTAACTTAGTCATCTATGGAACCTGTGGCTAAAGATTTCAGTTTCTTAAATGGGCTATGCTAATATCGGTTGAAACCATCGATTCGATCAGTAAACCTTCATGCGATTTTTTCACCGTCAGCAAGTTTGGTTGGTTAGGTTAGGTTATGATAGTTTAATTTTGTAATAGGTAGATATATTTAAAAATATCGATCATTAATCAATATTCTCATAGCCCAGTTAAGAAACTGTACGGTACCCAAGATTTTTATTAGAAATGACCTGTGGTTTCATCACTAACCCTTTCAATGCTAGAATTAGTTTTTTAATTTTCTTAAAAATGCTTAGAGTTATTTACTTGTTCAATCCGAAAAGTGCTAGGTTTGCCGTGGTAAAGTCTAGTGTGCGAGACAAAAATCGGTAAAAATAAATTAAACGATATAACGGGCCTCGATCGTAAGAGGAATCGAGAGAAACCATCGCTGTTTCAAAACAACAATCCAGTCAACTGATATGCCCATTTAAACTCACATGAACAAGAGTCGCGCCGGCATGATGAGTTATATTGTTGTTTAGTGTTTGGATGAAACATGAACAACGATATATCATTCCATAGCACTACCTATTTGGGAAAAAGACGCACAACGATATATAAGTTCTGTTTTGATCAGCTTGTGGGCTTCACTCACCTTAATTTGTTAATCCAGGACTCGTCAAAATGTAACACAACGAAGACACACAACACAAACATACACGCACTTAAAAAATCGTCCTTGGATTTACTCCGACGTTTCGCGGGACCAAAGATAACGTCCCGCTTCATCAGGGAATTAAAACTTTATTTTTCTCGCGTACACGAGCTGAACGCCTAACCACGACTGCCGGGATTAAAAGTTTAAAGGGTTAATAATCTAGCCCCACAAAAATGTTTCAGGTATGACAACATAAATTCTGAAAAACTTGAAAATGCTGTTGCTGAGGGACCAAAGTCAGTTGAATATACTCGTTTGGTGGAATGGTTATCGAAGGAATTAAAATTACTTTGCAACCTGGATGAACATGTGAATTCCATTTCCAGCCCAGATGATTCAAGCTCGTTTCTCTTGGAAGTCAGTAGCTTTCTCAAGGAATTAGGTGAGGGAAAGGTTATTGAAACAAATTATTTTGAATTATGGTGTTGTACTTTTCTGTTATACCGACGACACCTTCATTAAAAAAAGTTATATATTAGGTTATTATATTATAAGGTAACCTAACCTAAACTTAATGTGGTCGATACAAAAGTAGGCCTATCAAGGTGTGGTTGGTATAACAGAAAAGTACCTATACTGTATTATTAATATTTAAAGTTTTAAAGCTCATTAAATGGAGGTTGTTGCGCCTCACCTTGCAATGAGAAAAGTATCTAGCTTAAATACACTATATTTAAGTAAATGAGGAAGCGCCAAATTGTCTCAACTTTCAGGAGAGTGCTTAAAAGCGGAATATTTCCACTGTGGGAGAGAGAGAGAGAAAAATTTTTTATTTACAACAATCTCTATCACTGTGGCAAAGGCAGTGTGTGTTAGGACTGAGTAGAAAATTTCTGAATCGAAAACATATATTAGGCCTATTCTCTTTAGTGCTGTAAAACACAACTGCCCAAAATGGTATTACGACTAAGCCTGCAATGGCGTTCAGAAGGAGAAGTAAGAGCGTCTTCCGGGGTTCTACCAGCTGTAGAACTTTCTGAGTGGCGGCACCGCAAAGAACGGCATGCTTCCTGTGGACTTTATGTGATCTATTTTTGTGATATTAATTTGTTGTTCTCTGTAAGTTAATTAGGCCTATAATTATTTTATAGTGTTGTCATTTAAGTTGAGAATAGTATTTTTGCAGGTTATAAGTGTCATTCTTGATGATAAAAACACATTATTATGAGAACCTGTTATAAATTGAAAATTTATCAGCTTGGTAATATGTTGAGGTAAATCGTCATATATGAGGTCATTTTGGCCTTGGTGTTAGTTTTAAAAACAGATTTCCTAGGGATATTTTTCTATTTTCCATCTTTAGTGTTGGTTCAGTGTCTTTAAGTACAAGTCCTTAAGTTTCTAATACAATTACTAATCTTTTATTGGCTGTCCAGGATGCCAGTACGGTTTGTTGACAGAAGGCAATGTAAATCAGCGGCTGATGTCGAGAGACCAGCGACTGCTCCTCCTGGATTTCCTGCTAAGTGAATTGGCGGCAGCTCGAATCCTGGCTGTAGATCGTCCTGATACTAGAAACAACATGGAGGTCTGTCTGTGTTCACGTTTTACAGTGCAACGTTATTATCAATGCAAGCAAGTGAAACTTAATTTATCCTCGGTTATCCTCGACTTGAGAATAACTCGAGATTAGGGATTGGGGACGATATAAGCTCGAAGATATTTTAAAATGACACTGGTTTTCAATGGTCCACTGTATTTTAGCAAATGTTCCATATATAGAAGAAGCTATTACCGTACCATAGGTCTCATGGTAAGATCTGTACCTGATTTACATTTTTGTTTTTATGTTCCCAGATGACAACTTTAACAACATCTCCAAATTCTCTATATACGTGTCCGTTAGGACAATAACTTGAGTAAAAAATGGTCGATGGAATTTTTTTTGTACAAACGTATAAACCTACACTTATTCACAAGGTCGGATTTGGCATTTTGGCGTCCTATGCCCCAATAGTTTTTATCCCCCTAGTATGGATGGTTATTTAAAAGTTACTTTCTTAGATCTTACCTTTGATAAAAACTACTAGTGGCTTGTAGGGACATAAGTCCCTAAAAAGAGCAATACTGTAAAACAAATTATTCAGAAATATATTATCTATGTGTCAGAATAGATATCCCTCTACACCATATCTTTTGTGTAAAAAAAAGTGTTTCTTTGTTTGCTTTTGTGGGTGTTATTTTCAATAAATAATTTGAATCACTCCATAGATTTAACTCAACTAAAGTCAGCAAACATATAATAAATTTGTGAATTTATGCTGGTTTATTGGTAGCTTTGTTCTTTTGGTTAATGGTTAAAAAAAAGGCCTCCCTGATTGGAATTTTGGAAATTTTCTTCGTCAAATATGAAAAGGCAAATAAAGGTGTGTTAAGGTAAGCTTAGTTCTTGTTCAAAACCGCTAAAATAGCATCCCGGCCCAGTTAATACTTCTAAGTTTTGCTCTTGAAAACCTTTTAGAATTGGACAATTATGGAAAGAGGAGTTCTAATGATTGTTAGAGGCATACTCGTTTATATGTTTAAACTTGTGTGTTATTAGGTGACTCTTCAAGAGAGTTCAACGGCTGCAGACCTAAAAAATCTCCTGATTGCCCTTAAGTTTCCAAAACCTCCAGCTAACATCACCTCAGAAGTGCTGTTTGGAAAAGTAGTAAACAAGGTAGATTTGATTAATTTATTTAATATTTACTTTAAAGAAACCCTAATTTAAATTTAATACCAATTTTTTATGTTTGCTGGCTTAAGCTGGGTTTTTGTTGGCGAGGAAGCAGATTGTGGAGTGCGGAGTCCGCTTTCTCTTGTCTCAGGAAATTTAATGGTACTGTTGTCCTAGAAACAAAGAGGACCGCCATTGAAATTGCTTCTCCACACTCAACGCTTTGTATCCTGTGTCTAGGAAAACTCAGCTTTCAACAAGTATTTTAATGAAATTGGTTCAAGTCACCATGAACATCTCGGTTAAGACTTAAAAACCTAAGCCCGAGTATAGCTCAGGGCATTAGTTCCTTGAATCTAACCTGCTAGCCCAGTGTGCTTATAGCAGCAGTCAGCGGCGCCCCCAAAGGGGCTTTGGGGGATTAAGCCCTCTCAAGGACCTAGGGAGGCTTAGCTCTTTACTGGAGTCAGCTGTATACGTAAATTTTTCACAAATTTTTAAAATATTAAACTTCCTAATTGTTAGTTGTAACAACAGAACTTGAATTTAATACAGCAAGAAGCAGGCGTTTTGTAACAAGTATTTTTTATGCCTATGCAGACAGACTTAAGTGATTTTAGTGCCTATGTGCCGTTTCCACTAGCGACCAGCGCTAGTTGCTGCAATGCTCACTTGACTTAGTCTGTGTAGTTGATTGTAGTACTCGTATTCTAGTTGTTTGGTTGTGAGTTCTGTGTATGGATGCAAATAGACTGAGTGGACTGGCAGATTTTAATATTCACATAGGAATTGAAGTCACTAGTACAGAGGTAGTATCTGTGCTAAAAAAATTAAATATGGACATATCTTGTCTATTTGACATTTGTGTTGCTTTTCAGACCAAAGAGGTGATAAGCAAAGCACCGCCTGCCCTTGTTGCCAAGCCTCTGTTTACGGGTGTCCTGTCCGACAAGCAATGGCATCAGGTCAAAGACACGCAGACCGAACTACACAAAGAATACAAGATGCGAAGAGAAATGTTGACAAAACGGCTAGATGTCACCATTCAATCGTTTGGGGTGAGAACCAAAATTTTCATTCACAGTCTGATGTAGAAATGAAGTATTGTTGATTTTTTTTTCCAGACTCATGTTTACTTAATGATTGCGCTTAAGAAATGCTCCTGGCTAAATAAACAGCTGTTCATTAATAAAAATTCTACAAAATTTATAGTTTATTTAACTCATCCTTTCCCTCATATTTGGCTTACAATACACCCAGCGTCTTAGTATTTAATTATATTAATAATAATTATTATTAGTTCTAGTTTAAATACTTAGCAAAGTTTTTATAATACCATACCGGTAGTGTAATGGATGCATCATTGTTTTACAGTTTAAATGTTGTTTATTAATCATCATGTGACTGTTATACTACTTGGATTGTTACTTAGACATATTGGAAATGAATAGACATACGCGGCATGTTTTTTAAGTAAGTACCGTTTTTAAATTTCTCCATTCCAGCACTGCGATTGGCATTTTCGACATTTGCCCTGTGTATGGGCATCTATTGGTAAGACCTAGCCGGAAATTCGAGAACAATCGGCCGTGTTTACATCTGGTTTCGAGCATTCAAAATGGTGCCGCCAATTGAGACTGCTGCCGACTGTGAAGTGCACGCTGTAATTAGTTTTGTAAGTGCTAAAGGTGTGAAAGCCATTGAAAATCATCGACAGATTAGTGAAGTGTATAGCGGGAACATTATGAGTGCCGCAATAGTACGCAAGTGGATAAGGGCATTTTAAGACGGCCCCACCAACGTTCATGATGAGCAACGCACTGGGCGGCGTCATTACTGTCCCCGTACCCAGCGTGTTGCTCATTTACTGCACTTAAAAATCTAATTACAGCGCGCACTTCACAGTCGGCGGCAGTCTCAATTTGCGGCACCATTTTGAATGCTCAAAACCGGATGTAAACACGGCCGATTGTTCTTGAATTTCCGGCTAGGTCTTACCAATAGATGCCCATACACAGCGCAAATGTCGAAAATGCCTATCGCAGTGCTGGAACGGAGAAATTTAAAAATGGTATTTACTTAAAAAACATGCCTCGTACAATGCTGAGTACGCTATCAAATTAATTATTTTCTTCCATTTCTGATTTCAACCTGAAAGTCAAGTAAACTTAAGTAAACATGGTTTTAGTAAACCCTAAAGTTTATTGTATGTTTAGTGGTCTGACCGACTGAAAAACCAACAAGACCGAATTGTGACGGTATATGGAACAAAACGGAACACCATGAAGGTAGAGCCCGACGTTGACTTGGCGGACATGTTGGCTGCTCGTGAGGACCTCGCCATCTTGGAAAAGACATCAAATGCCTCAGTCCGCAAACACACACAGTCCTCCATCAACAAAGTGATGATTGGACGGGTAATTGTTAAACATGTTGCTACTACTTTAAAGGGTTTGTCAAAGAAATTAAGAGTTATGTAGTTGAAATATGTAAGTTGCTGGGTTTTTAAAGTGCTCGGTTACTTATTAAATCAAACAAAGGTACTTTCCTGTCAAAGGGAACATTCATTATTATTATCGATGATTATTTTCTCGATATATCAATATTAACAAATTGAAACATATCAGCTGACAACTATGATAAGTATTCATATAAATATCGTTTAGTATCAACAAACAATCATGAAATGAAAATGTTCTAAAATAAATAACCTAACATAACTAACCAAACTTGCTGTGTAACATCCCATGTTTAACTTGCCTTTTCTGTTATCAAAAGGAACTTTTAAATAGTACAGTAAGTTTGGTTGGTTATGTTAGGTTAGCTTAGAACAGTTTCATTTCTTAATCCAATAGACTATTTTAGCCTAAACAAGATCAGTTGTCAATATGTAATCGATCGGTAAACAAAAATATCGATATATCGAAAAAATCATCGATAATAATGAATGTTCCCTTTAACAGGAAAGTACCCAAACAAACAACAACCAAGCATGTAGCATGCTGCGATACACGTTGGTAACATTCAAAACTTTACATATTTGGAATGTTCTTGTGTTCTTAACCCGTAAATTGTTCATACCAATATTAAATGAGCCTCAACCAAAACTTCAACTTCTCTAAGCGTTCTATTTATCTCCATGAGACACCTATGGTGTTGAAAATAAATGTATGCAAATTGCATAGCAAGACACTGTTAAAAACCTGAATAGGCATTCAGCTAAGCTATTCAATTCAATTGTTTTTCCAGGTTCCGGACAGAGGGGGTAGGCCGAGCGAACAACAACCACCTCCCCCTGAGATGCCCAGCTGGCAACAGCGGCCAGGTGGGTGTTTTTTGATGGTTTTAATACCAGTGGCATTCTGTAATTCAGCTAAGGCAAAGCGTTCCAAACCCCTCAAAATATGTGGAAATGCCGCAAATCGAACCTGTCCTTCTTGCACTGAAGTTTGAGACTGTACTGTGAGCCATGCTTATAGATTATGTTAAATAAAAGATTATTTTTGATTGACTTTCCAAGAGATAATACAAAAAATTGCATTGCTATATATCTCATTAATACTCTTGCAATGCATTTGAGGAAAGTGCAAATTATTTATGGATGAGAAATTTAGTAAAAGATGTTTGTTGCAGGAGACATGATTATGAAAATCTGTACACCTCCTGAAAGACATTGGTTCCTTTGGGTCTGTGGTCTATATGGGTCGGCCACAACTGTTCTTTAGACATTATGAGAGTTTTTGTAAAGTTTTTGTTCGGATATTGTGAACCTATATGAATCAAGCACATTGTTTAAGTTTTAAATTTTTTGTGACTCCGACATAATAAGACTTTCATTTAGTTTTGGACATAATGGCACTTTTCTAAATTATTGATTTTAAACTTTATGAGACTAGTTGATGGTTTTTGAGACGTCATAAAAGCAGACCAGTCTTCTTCAACTCATACATTTTCTATTACAGGTGGTGGTGGTGGTGGTGGAGGAGGAGGGGGCAGAGGAGGAGGTGGATTTCAAGGAGGCGGTGACCGAGGTGGAAGAGTTCAAGGAGGTTGGAATCAAGGAGGTGGTGGCTATCAGGGCGGCGGATACCAGAACAGAGGAGGAAGAGGGGGATATAATGACAATAGGGGAGGTGGTTATCAAGACAATAGAGGGTACCGTGATAATAGAAGTGGTGGGTACCAAGACAGGGGTGGGCACCAAGACAAGGGAGGGTACCAAGACAGGGGAGGCTACCAAGATAGAGGAGGGTACCAAGACAGGGGAGAGCGAGGCGGGGGGAGGGGTGGTAGAGGAGGGAGGAGAGGATACTAACTCATCCTTGCATCACGATAATTGAACCTGCAATCTCACCGACTGATATTCTTTTAATTTATTTTTTAGGTTTATTTTTTGTTTACCTTTTGTCTTGCAAAACTTTTGTGAATTGAAATAATAACATGTATACTGAATATGCTGGAATGGTTGTTTTTACTAAGCAATTTACCATGTGATTGAATTTACTTTTGTAATAGAACTTTATTGTGATTCTTTAAAATGATGTTCAACTGTTCATGGAGTATATTGTTACAAAAGTCCTTTCCCATGCCTAATGTTTAATAAAGTATTGAAGTTTCTTTTAACACATTCGATGCTGACTGCTAGATGCCGGGACGGTGCCACGAGCTGAACTAACGCTCGCAGCTGCGTAACATTGCCGCCGATACACTGAATTACAGTAAAAACAACAGTAGTTATACTGGATGGCAATGTTCTGCAAGGCTTTAGTACTAAGTGATTCTGATAGATAGCAGCACTAACAAGGTTGCAGTCGGTAAAGTAGTGTCGCTATCTAGCAGGAAAGAGGTGGGACAAAGCCCTGTTCTAAACGACCCTGGTGGTGATTTTAGGAAACTATATTTTTTACTGTCAGAAAAGTACGTCCCCAAGAGCTGCAAAGAAATATAGGACGCTCGTGATGAGCTGGCTTATCTATGGAAACCTTAAACAACAATGAACGGTGATGTTCTGGAACGTTCCTAGCTCCTGGCGCCGTGGCCCACCTGACGTTCCGGAACGTCCGTTGCAGCGAACGTGTTAAGATAAATATTTTCTACAAGAAGGTTTTGTAAACATATTTGGTGCAACAAATCTTGAGCTATGGTCTATTCAGCTGTTGGTAAGAATTAAATTAAACCAGCTAACCAGCTGCAATTAGCAAAGTAAATATTTATTATTCTATCCAAGTGATTAAAACATGATTGAACTGATATAGCTAAGTAATTTTTCACCTAGAATACAACCATACAACTGATCTTCAAGTTATCTGGGGTTATACATGCCTCGTGCTTTTATTCCTATGTCCTGAATAGGTGATTGGCTTAGAAACATATAAGGAGTAAAACCCAATGCACATCACAAGGTGTATATGACCTGGGGTGGTAAATAAAAGTTTGGGAAGGGTATATATGTTGAAAAATTCAAATTCTTAAATGTCACATCCTACATACATAAAACAACCACTAAGTTATAGCCTGTTTCAATCATTAACATTAAATACCCTTGATTTTTTTAAATGCACCAAAAATTCTTAAGTACTACTAACCACTAGGCTAGCGACATGCATGCTAAAGGTATGGAAGACCTAATGTTGGATACATGTCAAACAAAGTTTGAGAAAAAAACAATAAAGGGCAACATGAGACGAGCATGAATACTATGAATGTATCTAATACGTTTATATCTATAGGTGAATTGAGTTCATATTTCATTCAATGGTTTGATTATGATCTAAATACATACCGGCATTAGATTTAATTCCGGTTTATACTAATTTATTACCTACTCTGTTTTCCATTCAAAATAAATCGCAAAATAGATCTTTTGCCTATCACTCATGTATCAAGCCAAAAAACAAAAATTAGCTGTCTATTTTATTTGTTAGTTTTAAAACTAATAACTTCTATATGAATATTCATAAGGTTAAAATGGGGAACTACAGAGCCCCTGGGGCGGAGCCCGAATGGATTTTTGAGATAAGAATATGCCTGTATGTTAATCGGGAATGTAAGCCATCATTATGTCAAAATTTCAGCCCAATCCGTCCAGTAGTTAATGCGTGATTGAACTTCAACAAACACACAAACTTTCACTTATATAATATCAGTAAGATTAATATATATCTTATCTTATCTTACTAATAAATGTGAAAGTTTGTGTGTTTGTTTGTTTGAAGATCAATCACGCATTAACTACTGGACGGATCGGGCCGAAATTTGGCATGATAGCTCACATTCCCGATAAACATATATAGGCATATTCTTATCTCAAAAATCCTTTCGGGCTCCGCCGCCCCAGTGACTCTGTAGTTCCCCGTGTTAACCTTAGGAGTATTCATATTTAAAGAGAATTAAAGGGTTTAGTCTCAACTAAAAAAATTGGTTGCAAAAGCATAAAAAAGCAGCACTATTGTTTTTCTGGATTTATGTTAACAGCTAATTTGAACTAAACAGCAACAAAAAACTGTGATACGCAATGAAAACTGTCAAAGTAGAATTGTTTACAGTTATGTTTATGTTTTTAATTTCATGAATAATTTGTGATATTTTGCGAATTTGTAATAATTTATTTATTTTATTTTTCTCTATTGTTTAGGTGAAGTGGTAGAAGATTATGGATATGGTAGATGTGGGCTATAATATACCGTAAATTTAAAGAAGCAAATTTTATCAAACTGTGTGTCCTCCCCCATTGCAAACGCAAAGCCTGAGTATATCTGCAATAAGCGTTTTTAACTTATGTGTCAACCCTGTTCGAAGGACGGATACTCTGCTAGTATATATATATATATATATATATATATATAGGCCTATATGTCCGTTGGCGCGATAACTTGAGCAAAAATGATCAGATTTTGATGAAATTTTTTACAAACGTGTAAACCTACGTTTATTCGAATGAGTTCGCGAACCAGCATGAGCATGATCGGACTATGGGAACGGGGGTTTGGGGGTTTATGGGGGTTTTTATGGGGTTTCCTATTTTTGACTCTAAAAACATAACATTTCACAATTTCTTTCCAGACCATTTTGTAGAGCTTAAAAAAGTAATATTTTGTATATTGAAGCGTTGTTGTATCGTATGCCTAAGGTTACGGAGATAATTACAAAAATTTAAATTTAAAACTCACGCTATTCTTATGGGATAAACTGTTGTAGTTTGCTTGTTTATGGATATATTTATTTAATCAAATTTCATAATTTTATTTATTTCATACTAAGCTATCAACATTTCAATACCCCCGCCGCAGCAAACCTGCAGACTAAGCGAATTTCCATTTGACTGATTGGATTTACACTGAAATGTCTACTTAAAAATATAACATTTATTCCCGATTTAAATAGAATTAGTTTTAACAAGTACTTTGGTTTGCTGCATCAGGGAGGGTAAAACTGTTTTTTTTTTGTAAAATGTTAATAGTTAGTAAGAAATAAAAACATTTTCCAAATTTGATTAAAATATGTTCATAAACAAGCAATCTACAACAGTTTACTTATTCTCCATAAGAATAACATGGGAATTTTAAATTTACAATTTTTTGGAAATTTCTCCATAACCATTAGGCAAATAGTAGCGCTTCAATATACTAAATTATTTGTTTTCTTAAGCTCTACAAAATGGTTTGTAAAGAAATTGCTAAATTTTATGTTTTTTGGGTAAAAAATGGGAAAACCTATTTTTACCCCATAAAACCCCACGTAAACCCCCGTTCCCAAGGCCCGATCATGCTGGATCGCGAACTCGTTCGAATAAACGTAGGTTTACACGTTTGTACCAAATTTCATCAAAATAGGATCATTTTTGCTCGAGTTATCGTGCTATCTGACACACACACATATATATATATGTATTAATATATATATATATATATATATTTATTTTTATTAAATAAAAAAGAATAAAAAAAGAGTACTCATGTTATTTTATATATTATTTATTAATATAAATATATATACATATAAATATATATATATGAATTTGAACGGATGGTGTTTTTGGCCTCTAGGGACCACAAAACGAAAAAAAATTGTCTCGCGTCCAGGATCACCACAGACAAATGTGACATTGTTGTAAGGTTTCGAACCACGGCGACGCGCGCCCCTAGCGGGAACTCCCGAAACTAGCCACCCTGCCCCGCACCCCGCGGGCGCACCCCACTCGACTTCCGACGTATTTCATAATAAACTACAAGTTACAAGTTACAACTTGTAACTTGTAATTTCCATTAGATTTGCATTGGGTGATCAGCTGATTTACTAATAATATTAGTTTGTACTTTATTATGAAATGGGCCCCTGTCTTACCATGAGTACTACGGTAATAGCTTATTCCCTATGGGAAATTCGCTAATAAAACCACACCTCAATCCCTGTAGCAGCAAATCTAGGTACTCATTAAATTAATGTAATCTAAATAGGAAATAAATCTGACAATTTCAGGGTATATTTTAGTAGAAATCCAGCCAGGTAAATGGAAATTCGCTTAGTCTGCAGGTTTCTGCGGCGGGGGTATTATATGTCAAATCAAATCTTTATTCATCTTACAATCTTTATTCATTAAATAACATGAGTTACAATAGATTTCGTAAAAAATGTATAATGTAAAAACCTTAAAGACACCTCAAAAATATGACTAGGCCTACAGCATGAAAGACTTGATTTAAAGGTTTCCAGACAATAAAATAAGTAAAGAATCAGCAGTTCAGACAAATGCACCTCGTAAAAAATCATTTTGGTAACTAAATTATAGCCTGTTTCAATCATTAACATTAAATACCCTTGATTTTTTTAAAGCACCAAAAATTAAATAAATAAATACATGTACAAGACTATTGTCATTGACTAAGGAAACAACTTTGTTTCCCTTGTCTGTGCTATTGTCTTGTCTGTCTTGATATTTTAACATCTGTATTTTACAAAGAACAAAAATCCCTCAATCATGACCCTTCCAGTTTTTTATTTGCCCTTCCCAACTCAAATGTTCATCCATCTCACCTCTAAAATGTTGGCAGTTTTTTTGATTTGATTGCGCATTTACTGCAGTTGATTAAATTGATGAGTGTCAGTTTGTCAATTTGTTGCGTCTGAACCTGAACCATATTGCCTGACACACAATATGTTGAGTATTAGCATTGACTTTAAATAACTACAGGTATATAGAATATATAGAATATATATAGTCAATGGTATTAGATTTGTATTCTCATAATCAATGCCAAATCAGTACCAAATGTTTTCCTTTCAATCAAACATTCTTTGAAAAAAGTCATCAGCTGATCAGATTGACGGATTACACGATGGTCGTCGTCGTCTTTGAAAAGTTGTTGAAAACAAAATAATGATTACAGCTGAGAGCTGAGATGTGAGTGTTGTGGTTGTGTTGTGAAGCGAAGAAGAAAAGTGTCGCGACGAAATGAGATCTGTCAAAACATTTCAGGGATTTTCTGAAATTAGTTTTTGAAAATTAGAATTTGGCTTAAGAGTTCGGGAATTTTACAATGGCATGGTTTGGTGAGGGGTTTTCATCATTGAAAGGTCAACTTTCCAACTTTACTAAAGATGTCGCCACAAATATAGTAGGGTTAAGTCCCCATGAAGGCTCAGAACAAGAGGGTAAGATTACTCATTTAGGCTAACTTTAATTTACATACAGTTTAATTTTTTCAGGTTCTCTTTCGTTGTTGTATTTTGAAGTCTTTGGAGTCTTTTAAACAAATTATAACTAGGTATTTAAGTACCAAATTAGGGCCATTAGGCTACTTAAAGGAAAGTGGGTTTTGTCATATTGATGGAAAATTATGGTGTTTATTTACAATAAGCTTAGATGCTTCCAAACGAATTTTAAATTGTGAAAGCTATCTTTATAGTTTATTACATCCTGAATCTAAATATACCATTATTTTTCACCGCTGATGAATATTACTCAAGATATCGCCATAAAAATATACAACAATAGAATAAACAAGGTAGGGCTGCATTTTACAAGTTAGTGGAATGAACTGTGGTTGAAGTAAGCCTACAGCTGATTGTTTTCAAACACACAACAAGCAACTGGATGATATAACTAACTGATTCTGATTGGCATTTGGCAATAGGCCTAGGCCTAATAACGACACTTCACTGAAACTAGAACTAGAATAAGTTATAGTAGCATAGAATACCAAAACCAATACTGTGCTGCTAGTTCGTCTGCTACGATAAGTTTAGGTTCAGTGGCGGCGATAAGAACCCGCAGGCCCCCCCGCAAGTTTGTTCGCCGGGCCCCCCTCTCCCTATGATCTTTAAAAACATTTTCCCATGTATTACAGCCTAAATTTTGCAATAAACTTGACAAGGCATCTCCCGAGGCGTCATTATCGTCTTCCATGATCGCGGCAAAATCGTAAATACTTCCCGTAGTCATAAGTCATGGAAGAAACATTTAGTTAACCGTGATTGCAAATGCAACCAAACCTATGATATCATTAGATAGCAGCATCATCGTCTCCCGCGTTCACGGCCCAATCTAATATCACGGCCTAATATCTCCCCGCGACCCGTTGGTGGTGACAGGTAAATCATTTTTCCGTTATCGCGGCTAAATCCTAGACATATCTCTCGCTAAAAAATAAACGTCATTACCTATCGTCTTCCGCAATCGTGGCAAAATATTGAACATCTGCGGCCGCGGAGACATCGTCATCGTCACCCATGGGGAAAATGTTCTCGTCGATATCCGCGATCGTGGCAAAAGCGTAGGCCTAATCTTTCAATTTCGTGAGCGTGATCCTCACGGATATAAGAGCTTTTACTTTTAATTGTGCATTATTGTATTGAATAGGCCTACTGAGAAACAATAAAAGGTTTAAATTACCTGTATCCGTCAAGTGATCCTGGTTTGTAGTTGATTGACTACAGCCGTTTCATGTTGTAAAAACACATCTTCAGGTCAAACGTATATACATTGATTTAATCCATGGAATGGTCATCAAGGTTTAAAGTTCACAAAAATAACACATACACGTACACGAAAACATTAAACATAAATTGGCCAACACAAAAATACGAAAAACGCGTGATAGGCATCGGACACGTACGGCGCCACTAGAAGGTAGGTCATGACTGTCGTGTGCCGGAAGTGATAGCCCCCCACTATCAGCTGTTATCTATTGTGGTCTAAGATGCGTATGGCGGCATTGTAAACAATGTTCGACTCGAATGAGAGTTTTTCATTTAAGATGTTATCAGGCTGTTTTTTTGAAGCACGATAAATTTCAAATTTCTTGTTTGATGGCAACGAGAGACAGTTAAAACTATTTGGAACATTCTTAAACAGTATCCATCCCAACATAAGCTTCACTCTAGAAACCGAAAACAACAATTCAATAAATTTCTTGGACGTCACTATTACAAAGAACGAAAATAGTTTGCAATTTAAGATATACCGGAAACCGACCATGACTGATCAGACAATACACGCATCTTCACACCATCCATACAGCCACAAGATTGCCGCTTATAATAGTTTTGTCCACCGCCTATTGTCCATTCCCCTCAACAATACTGATTACAAGAATGAGGTTTGCATATTAAAGTACATTGCTGTATCCAACGGTTACAAACCTTCCTTAATTGACAAACTCATTAAAAAACACTCCAACACAACCAGACCGAGTTTGGATGGGGAAAATAATAAAAAATACGTCAGTGCTGAGTATGGCGTTGTTCTTAATAACACCTTAAGAAGCGAGATGACAAAAAGTAACATCGTTGTAGCATTCAAGACGTCAAATAGACTTGACTCGATGCTAAAATCAAGATACCAACGAGAAGGGGCAGACAACAAGTTCAATAAAACCGGAGTCTATAAATTGTCTTGCAACGACTGCCCGAGCTTCTACATAGGCCAAACGTCACGATCATTTACCACCCGATTCAAAGAACACCTGCCTAAAATTTCCTCTAAGTCGGCATTTTCCAACCATTTGATTAACTCCAACCACAACTATACAGATATAAACAATAATCTCAACGTTCTCCATTTATGTAACAAAGGAAAATACATGGACACATTAGAAGAATTTGAAATTTATCGTGCTTCAAAAAAACAGCCTGATAACATCTTAAATGAAAAACTCTCATTCGAGTCGAACATTGTTTACAATGCCGCCATACGCATCTTAGACCACAATAGATAACAGCTGATAGTGGGGGGCTATCACTTCCGGCACACGACAGTCATGACCTACCTTCTAGCGGCGCCGTACGTGTCCGATGCCTATCACGCGTTTTTCGTATTTTTGTGTTGGCCAATTTATGTTTAATGTTTTCGTGTACGTGTATGTGTTATTTTTGTGAACTTTAAACCTTGACGACCATTCCATGGATTAAATCAATGTATATACGTTTGACCTGAAGATGTGTTTTTACAACATGAAACGGCTGTAGTCAATCAACTACAAACCAGGATCACTTGACGGATACAGGTAATTTAAACCTTTTATTGTTAAAATCAGTGATCCAGAGGCTATACCATAAAAATGCTACTGAGAAAATCGGCTCGAAACAGATTTTCAGACTTTGTGCTTGATCTCTCAAGCTTGTAGTCCAGGATCTGCTCGGCTCGAAAATCGACATTATAGGCCTATTATAGAAATCAACCGTTTCCAAAGCAACCCGATTTTGAACCAATCTGATTTGGTCTGAGGCCCTTAGGTAAGTAACATTTTTACCTGACTCGATGTAAACACATCTAAAGTACGAAGTAAACAAATCTAAAGGGCAGCCTCCTAATAGTAAGACATGAAATGAAATGAAAATCCTTCTTTAGCATGGAATGGTAGCTAGTGTCCTAGCCACCTAGGTTAATTTGCCGGTTTGGTCGTGTAACAAAATTGTCAAGTTTATTTAGTCGAATCAGCATAGAGGATCCTTTATGGTGTCACCCGCTGGGGGCTAGGAGGATTAACATTAATGTTTTAAATATTCTTAGGCCAGAGGCCACATTGGTTATAAATACGGCCCTATTATTATGCAACCAACTGATGACAATTCGTTTACTTAGGTTGGTAGATAATTTATAACGATCGGTCAAGTAATAGTGTTCGTTTAGCACTTGTAAACTACTTGAACTATAGGTTTGAACAAATTTTCATCATAAAAAAACCTATTTTAATTCTCATATAAATATTGTTATAATAGGAGATAAGCCCTGCGGGCCCGCTATCGCCACCACTGTTCAGGTTAAGTGAAGAGAGTAACTTAGCAGATGACGAGAAGAATAACATCTTTGATTACAAAATTAAACTTATCATTGACTTATAACTTACAACTTCAAAACATTTAATGCAGTCACAAATTCGCATAAAGTCTGACTGTCCACCCTGACATGCCTTTACAGACATATCAAAATGAGTTTGATAACGTTCTAGAGGTTTGGTTTGGTGAGGTTATCTTAGAACAGCACCATTTTATTTTGTAATTCCTAAAAGGCAGAATATTTAAATAATTAATAAAAATAAAATACTGGTAACAATAGTAAATTACATTAAATGATAGAACTGTCTAAACTTATTAGTCATAGATTTCCAGTATTTTAAGGGGCGGTGCTAGGCGTACAAATGAGAAAAAAAATGACAAAATGGCTTCCGAATTCCTAAAAGGCAAGGCTTAACAACTAAATATTGGGCGTGTGGCATCTACACTTGACGTAAATCGAGACTGATAGGTACCCATATTTATTGTTAGGCTATTGTTTTAATAAGTGAAAAGTGTAATCAGGTGATTTTCAAATAGCTGAATCAGAGTCTGCTAATAAAGTTGTCACTTCCAGTTGCTTGACTATGATTGAAAACAATCAGCTGTACCGGTATAGGCTTACTTCACCCACAGTTCATTCCAATTGCAAATGCCATCCGTCCTACTTACTTCCATGCATTAATTAAATAAAATCCTAGACTTCGCCAGTCCCTACCATTTAAATATGAGATTAAATCTTCCCTAGTAAGTTCTTTTTCATTAAGAAAACATTTTCTTACACCTGCAAGGATTGGACACCTACAAATATAATGAAATATGTCCTCATTTTCCCTTAAATTACATAAACTGCACACATAATTTTTCAAATTTTGTATTGCATTGTAGGAGGAGGTGCGAACTCAGAGAGCCAGCACGCCAACCAAAGCATTTGTTTTTAGAGCATTAACCTTAATGATTATTTTTGATTTTATCAAAATTAAAATATTCTTTGTTTCAGAATCTCCGTCTTCATTGCATGAAGAGGCCACTTTGAAGTCACATTCAGAACTAGAGAAGGGTAGCAGTAGGAGTCACGATAAAGAGGTAGGCTATGTCTAGATTTTCTAACAATATTATCAATTTCTACAGCGGTCCATATGAAGATGGTGTGATGACGAATTGATGTAATGTTGCCAGATTTCCTTTGGACTCCTGGTACCTCTATACAGGGTGAATAAAAAGTCAAGACCCCCCCCTTTAATATTTTTCCAAGTAAATATACAGAGATATCCTTTTGGTGGTCGAGCAATCTTAGCAGGGAGTTTCATTTTATCATTTTAAAATTGTTGAGTGTCCCCCCAAAAGGGGGGATTTGGGGGGCAACTCAAATATTTTAAATGTAAACCCCCTTCAAGTGACACCTCATTTTGAAGTGTTTACAAAAACTTAAAGAATGGTGAAACTAGAGGTCACTATCTCTTCTCTATCCAAAATGGTAGCCCGTCAAATGTTGTGGAAAATAAATGGTAAAATTGTTAATATTGGCTGCCATTTTGGATAGAGAAGAGATAGCGAGCTCTGGTTTTCACCATTCTTTAAGTTTTTTTAAACACTTCAAAATGAGGTGTCATTTGATAGGGGTTTCTATTGAAACATTTTTAGTTGTATCCCGAATCCCCCCTTTTGAAGGACACTCAAAATTTTTTAATGTAAACCCCCTTCAAGTGACGCATCATTTTGAAGTGTTAACAAAAACTTAAGGAATGGTGAAAACCAGAGCTCGCTATCTCTTCTCTTTCCAAAATGGCAGCCAAAATTAACAATTTTACCGTTGATTTTCACCAACATTTGACGGGCTACCATTTTGGATAGAGAAGAGATAGTGACCTCTAGTTTTCAGCATTCTTTAAGTTTTTGTAAACACTTCAAAATGAGGTGTCACTTGAAGGGATTTTACATTTAAAATATTTGAGTTGCCCCCAAATCCCCCCTTTTGGGGGGACACTTAACAATTTTAAAATGATAAAATGAAACTTCCTGCTAAGATTGCTCGACCATCAAAAGGATATCTCTGTATATTTACTTGGAAAAATATTAGAGGGGGGGTCTTGATTTTTATTCACCCTGTATAATATTAGTGTAAACAGCGGCTAAGAAACTCTCTTAACGTCTGGGTTTGTGCAATCTAGGAGACATCCCAAAAATATGCATTAGCATGATGTCTGTCTTTAGCATTAGCATAGGTCTGGGCCCATGTGCTGGAGAGGCATGTCTTCCATGACAGGCTCTCTCGTGTTCATCGTCGAGGGGCCTTGCGAGTTGCTTCCACCTACCGCATGGTCTCCGAGCGTGCAGTTATAGTGATTGCCAGAGTCATCCTCGTCTTCCATCTCAAGAGGGAGGGACAGGCGATCTACTGCAGGAGATCTGAAGTAGACAGTGAGACTGCTGCCAGAGAAGAATGCGACTTACAGTTTTGACCGCTGGCAGTATGAATGGGACACCGAATCTCTGGGACGTTGGACCGCCAGGCTCATTCCTAGCACCCGACCATGGGAGGAATGGGAGCATGGTGAGGTTGGGTATATTGTGACCCAGTTTTTGTCCGGTCACAGGTACTTCCGGGCCTTTTTGCACGGAATGGGGAAGGCCGCCAGCCTGGACTGTCTGTACAGTCCCAACATTGCAGACACGGCCGAGCACACCTTCTTCTCCTCCGAGCCTCCTTAAACTCTGAAATCAGCGTTGCCATTACTCCCGACAACATCTTTGGAGCTATGTATGCTCCAGGGGGAGGGAACCTGGTACTGTGTAAAGCAGATCATCGAAGCCATACTTCGGGATAAGAAGGAAAGCCCTAGAGGCGTAGTCTGAAAGGCCTAGCCAGAAGTAATGAGCTAAGCAGTTCCAGGCTAGTGTCATAGGAGATGAAGGGGGTTTTTGCCGGTGGTCCGGAGACATTGAGACCGCAGGAGTATGGCACTACTGAGAGGCCATTGAGCATCTCAGTGTGTGTAGCCTAAATGCTTTTTTAAATCCTCCCCACAAAAAAAAAGATGATGTCTTTGTATTTAAAAAAGTCTAGCACAGCAATCAATCTATGCTGATACTCTTCGTTATAATATGTTAAAAATTGTGTAGGCCTAATTGGATTAGCACTTTGAATATCTTTTTGGCAACCCTTCTAACAGTAGGTATAATGAGCCAAAATTAAATGGTTGCCTTAGTGAACAACATACAGTAGAGTCTCGATTACTGTATCGAAACTACTAAGGCGATTCCTGTTGACAATTGAGTACTGTGAGATTGTGTGCTATTTACGTGGAACATAACTGTACACCGTAGTGGGTACACTACCACTGGTTACTAACCATACCAGATGATACACCCCAGAGGCATTTGAGGTCTAAACTTGACTATACTTCTCTTTGTTTCCGATGTTGAATCACAAAACCCACAAAACAGGATACGATCGTCGGTACGTGGTCACTGTATGAATTGTATGACATAACCCACAGAGCGTTGTCTTCTGGTGAGCCTGACAATGCAAGGCTTTCTTTGGGATAGGATTTCCCAGTGCCGGACTTGTCATGATAAGAGACTTCACCTCCTGAGAGTTTCTTTGGAGCTTGGAAGGAAGAGATGTAGGTATAATATTAATACCTTTTTATAAAGAAAGATGTTCAGCACCACGGAATCTTTGAAAGTGAACTATAGAAATTTGAAGGGGGTGAAGCTCTAGGGAAATTACCTTTTTAGTTACCATTCGTCTCTCCGCTAGGTCATAAGCTGTAAAATGACACTCCAATCGGAAAAATCGGTTGAGTAGGACGGCTGGAAAAGGGATGTTACAGAGAAAACACTTATTGCAAGTGCATAATTAGATTGTACCTTACTGTGTTTAATTTATCCCACCAAATATTAAACTGGATCCTTATTCTTGTTTAGGCTATCAATCAACTTCTACATAGTCTTAGGCATATATATTTAAGTCATCTCAATTTAATGATGAGGAACTTAAGTCTATTCTCAAAAACAGTACTTCACTTTGACTTCAACCAGTTCCAGTTCCTGGCTCTGATGTTTTTATCTACTGTGATATAAAGAACGGTAGACAACGGTTGTATCCCTAAATGTTTACGCAGGGAAGCGTTTAATTCAATCCATAACTTAAGTCACCCTGGGATAAAACCCGTGAATAAATGTTAACTTCAAGATATGTTTGGCCTTCAATAAATCACGATTGTAAAGAGTGGACCTTGTACTGTGGAGAGTGTCAACGCTCAAAAATTACTCGTCATGTTCAAACACCTATCAACGATTTCCCTTTGCCAAATCGTAGATTTGAACATATTCATGTGTATATATATCGGCCCATTACCCATTAATATCAGGGAATTCAGAAAAAACTTCTGCCAATGGCGAGGATAAAGATATGACTTTAATACTAGTTTGATTGTTGTTAGAAACTATTCCCTCTGCATTCAATCCCGTTATCTTGTCAACCAAATATTTCGTCTTGCAATCGGGTAATAAGTGATAGTGTGAAAGGAAGTCTGAACCTAATATAGGTATTGAAACATCCGCTACCACTAGACTCCAAAGGAAATTACGTCTAAGGCCTAAATTAAGGGTGAGAGGCATGGTACCATAAGTCTTTATTTCACTGTTATTGGCAGCACTTAGTGAATAGCTAGTAGGAAAACGTTAATATTTGATTTTATACTTATAGATAAGGCGCTTAGGAAAACACGACACATCAGACCCGGTGTCGATAAGGAACCTAGTTCGTGAATTTCTGTCCATCACAAAGAGACGGCTACCAGCATTTGAACAATCCGTTGCGGCCTCTACGGATTGTTGCTGAGGTTTCCCTGAAAAGAGCATGGTGAATGACATTTGGTAGCATTGTTTTTGAATTTTCTATGGTACCAGCACAAGTTCTTAGAGGGATTAGGCTTGTTTCCTGATCTACCAAGGGACTGGGAACGACCCCTAGGTCTCACCTGTTTATCTCGTACTCCGGTTTCTGATAATGTTTGAACTTGTTTAGAGAGGGATTCTATTGCGTTTAATAAAGAAGCGTTACCTGAATAGACTTCACAAATACCAGGTGTTGAAGGAATGTCAGCCACCTCCATGATCTTATCATTGTTGATCTTGGTTGATCTTATCAGCCAGTTCGGCCAGATTGTCCAAGGAGAGCTCAAGTTGTCAATATGGCTTGTGAATGGGGAGGGAGTCGTCTGAGCCACAGTTGACGAAGCATGTTGTCTTGAAGGGAAGTCGAGCCCGCAAGAGACCTAAGATGCCTCAAAAACTGGGAAGGCTCGCGGTCTCCAAGGTCTTTACACAGGTCCTCTTCACTCAGCAGCTGCCGCACACGTTGCTCTTCGGATGCAGATAGGCGTTCAATCAGTTTCTTTTTAAGATGTCCGTATTTGTCGCCTTGAGGAGGGTTTGTTATGATGTCTTTGACTTCAGCAGCAATTCCTGTGTCCAATTGCGAGACCATGTAGTGAAACTTGGTGTCGTCGTTGGTAATTCCAGATATAAGAAATTGCGAGTCAAATTGACAGTACCACAGACTTGGTCTTTCAGGCTAAAAGGGCGGAAGTTTGACTGCTACGCTGTTGACCGACATGTTTTGAGAAGTGCTGGGTTGTCCAATCCGTTGACGCAGTTCTTCATTCGCAGTTCTAAGTTTGGCGAGTTGGTTAGTTGAGGTCTTCTAATGACATCGTTCGTTGGAGGAAATACAAAAGGTTTGAACTCTTCAAAGAAATTAACAGTCTTTAGATAACGGTTGTAGTTGGGGTCACCATTTTGGTCGTGGTTATTTTGTGTACAATCCTTTAGAAAACCAAAACCAGACTAACTATAATGCGTTGCTATGACAACGTCAGCTGACGCTACATAAGCTAACAGCTGATGTTTAAATAGTTTTGTTATTTTTGGTAACTAGGAAGAGATAAACAAAACAAGGATGAGATATTTTAGGCTTTCCGACAAAAACTGGTTTAATTTATTTGTACTGAACAATTAACTTCAACAATTCAACAATTAACGCTTGTTACTTGAAAAGTATGTTGAATTAAATCAAT